TTACATACATTTGTGATGATGAGAAGGTGTTTTTTTTTTAAATTCTTTATTTTATTAAGGATTAAGCATGTCACATGAAAAGCAATTAACATATTGTTATGTTTGCAAAACAAGTGTATTCACATTGAATGAACATAAAGAGTAGCACAGTGTAACGGCACCCCCAGGCATAAAAGGGTTAAACCGCCGTTTAGTAGATGTTCCCTTCCAGAGACACAGGCACAGCTACTGCAGAACACCAATCCGCCGAACAGGAAACCATATGAATGCCGTAAACAGCCGAATAGGAAAAACCATACGAATAGGTTTACACTCCTAGCAGTCAAACTGGAACAGCATACATTAAATCCCCCCCAAGAACGAGACAAGGCTCTGTTTTGAGGGTCAAACAGTGAACAGTCAGAGCTGTGGGTTTATTGTGCTTATGTACACATTCTTACACATTAGTACCACCCACAGGGTTTTGGAACACAACCAATAAACACATACAATACACTCAGACACTCCCACACAAAATCCTCCCCTCTGCCTGTGATTCAATTACCTTACACAATGGGTAATGTAATTTAGAACAAGCAGAGAAATACAATTTTTCCCACATTATTCATAACTTGAAAAGTATGCATCACATTCACATAAAGCAATGTTACCTATATAATTATGCAAGGTCATTGCCCATCGTAGAGCCTATTGATGTAGGAGTGTTTGCCCGGGATCTGCGTGCTATGCTTTAAAATATTGTGTGCCCCCTAACCCAAGGGGGGGAGGCTTTAATTAAGATATTAAGAGCAGTTTGCCCTCTCCCAGTGAGGATGTTTGCTTGCTTAAAGGGACTCTCCAGTGCCAGGAAAACAATCTATTTTCCTGGCACCGCAGGTCCCCTCTCCCTCCCACCCCACCATCCCAAGTTGCTGAAAGGGGAGATCTATTGCGCATGTGCAGCCAGCGGCTGGGGAGACCTAATGCGCATGCGCGGCAATGCCCCGAACGCACATTAGATCTCCCCATAGGAATGCTTTGAAAGATGCTTTCAATGCTTTCCTATGGGGATTTTAGCAACGCTGGAGGTCCTCACATAGCGTGAGAACGTCCAGCAATGCTATAGCATAGAAAATCTGTCCTATAAACCAGGAAGTGCCCTCTAGTGGATGTCTAGTAGACAGCCACTAGAGGAGGAGTTAACCCTGCAATGTTAATATTGCATTTTATGAAAACTTAAATATTTACAGTTGCAGGGTTAAGGGTAGTGGGAGTTGGCACCCAGACGACTCCAATGGGCAGAAGTGGTCTGGGTGCCTGGAGTGTCCCTTTAAGCATATCCAACTACGGGTCAGTGTGCCATTTGTGCGTGCAACCAATTATAACATAAAAGGAAAGGGTAACAAAAATCTGAACTGTATATAACATTGCATTTGTTAAAGGACCACTATAGACACCCAGACCACTTCAGCTTAATGAGGTGGTCTGGGTGCCTGGTCCAGCTAGGATTAACCCTTTTTTCTATAAACGTAGCAATTTCAGAGAAACTGCTATGTTTATAAATGGGTTAATCCAGCCTCTAGTGGCTGTCTCATTGACAGCCGCTAGAGGGCTTCCTCGCTTCTCACTGTGATTTCCTATGGACTGGCTAAATGCGCGCGCAGCTCCTGCCGTGCATGTGCATTCAGCCGAAGAGGAGGAGAGGAGGCGGAGAGAAGGAGGAGAGCTCCCCGCCCAGCGCTGGAGAAAGAGGTAAGTTTAACCCCTTCCTCCCCCCAGAGCCTGGCGGGAGGGGGACCCTGAGGGTGGGGGCAACCTCAGGGCACTATAGTGCCAGGAAAACGAGTATGTTTTACTGGCACTATAGTGGTCCTTTAAGTGCCACTTTGCGGTTTAAGCTTTCTCCATCCTGTGGTACAAATGGGACAGTGTTTGCTGGGTCCCATTCATGAGACATGGAGTGTCCCAACTCCTGCATAAACAAGGCAGCTTCAGACACTGAGGTGAGTCTCAAGGTGATTAAATTTTTATTCATGAGCAAGCTCTCGCCATACCCCATCTGTACTCCACTCCTGAAGCTTCTAATTGACAGGTTACCAGATTAATCTTCTGCCTCCATTCAGTGGCGTCGCTAGGGGGGGTCAGAGGGGGCCATGGCCCCCCCTACATCATGCTGTGCCCTCCCTTGGGCCCCCCCAAATGCCGGCAACTTGCTGGCCAAGGGCTTCAATTATATTCCCTCGGGCTGTAACAGTCTGAGGGAATGCAGGACTGAGGTGCTGGGGGCTGTCTGTGGCTGGAGGGAGCACTGACAGGCTCCCCGGCACAGGCCCCGCCCCCAAACGAAGCCCTGCCTCCCGCACATAAGCCCCGCCCCTGCCGTAAAGCAGCAGACCATGCTGCTGCAGAAGATGGCTGCCTGACCCCCAGCAACAGCCTCCAGTGACAGGTAGGCTTGGTGTGTGTGTGTCTGTCTGTCTGTCTGTCTGTCTGTGTGTATGGACTCACACACTCTACACACACACACTGCCCCCCATAGACACACACTGTCCTACACACTGCCCCCCCATACACACACACACACACACACACTGCCCCCCATACACACACACACACTGCCCCCCATACTGCCCTCCATACACACACTGCCCCCCATTACACACACACTGCCCCCCATACAGCCCCCACACGGCCCCCATACACACACACTGCAACACACACACACTGCAATTGTTACACACACATACTGTCCCACACATACACTGCATCCCTGACATACACTGCCGCCCTCACTCACACACTGCCCACACACTGTCCCCCTTACACATTGCACCACTCACACACACCACTGCTCCTATGTCCTACTACAGCCCCATTTCCCAGCAGACCTCAGGTAAGTTGTCAAACTGTTCTTAAACGGTTTGACTACTTACTCTGGGAGGGGATCCCGGCACTATTGACACCATAACCACTTCACTGAGCTGTAGTGGGTATTGTGTCTGGATTATTTCTTTAAATAATCTACAAGTGCCCCTCCCGAGATCAGGCTCTGAATCCGCCACTGCTCAGCAGTCTGTGTGTGTGTGTGTGTGTGTGTGTATTTACTCAGCAGTCTGTGAGTGTGTATGGACTCGGCAGTCTGTGTGTATGGACTCAGCAGTCTGTGTGTGTGTGTATGGACTTAGCAGTCTGTGTGTGTGTGTGTGTGTGTGGACTCCGCAGTCTATCAATAATTAAAATTCCTGTGAGTTGTTGTGTAGGAAGGGCCCCAGTGCATTGCTTTGCCCAAGGGCCATTAACTCTGTTAAAATGGTATTGCTTGTGTGTGTCAGTGAGCTTCTATTTAGTGAGCATGTGTGTGTCAGTGAGCTTGTCTTTAGTGAACTTGTGTGTGTCCCTGAACTTCTTTGTAGTGAGCCTTCTGTTTATACAAGTGAGTTTGTCTGTAGTAAGCTTGTGTGTGAGTCAGAGAGTTTTGTCTGTCAGTAAGCCTATTTGCGCATGTCAGTGAGCTTGTGTGCTTACTGTAATATATATTTATAGTATAGTGATTCCCAGTTTGGCTCTGCCAGCGAGTGCACTTTACCGCTGAATCATCTGTGTGAGCTGCCGCACACTTGAGCCCTGTTACACGCGTCTGGGAGCTGCTGTTGACAGGTACTAGTAGTCTAGAGATTGGGACATGGGGTATATGCTCAGCTATCTGTATAATACAGATCTGTGTGTGTATATATAATATCCCGGGATAGTCAGTGCTTCCTGTATAGTGCTCCTCTCTGTATAATACAGGCCTGTGCCTGTATAATATCCCGAGAAAGTCAGTGCTGCCTGTGTAGTGCGGCTCTCTGTCTTGGGATATTATACACAAACAGACCTGTATTATACAGAGAGCAGCACTATACAGGGAGCACTGAGTGTCCCAAGTTATTATACATACAACCCTGTATTATACAGGGAGCACTGACTGTCCAGGGATATTATACCCAGACAGTAATTGATAGCTGTGCTGCAAAATGTCCTTGGAAATGTTTTTTCAAATGATGGCAACTATGGCACTGTATCAAGGGTAATGTGTTTGTTTTTTTAATAATCCCTGGTGGAAAATAATGAATCCTTCACCAGGTATTATAAAAAAAAAAATAATAAAAAAAAATAATGTGTCGGGGGCGGGGCTTAACATGCGACAGGGGCGGGGTCAAACTGTGGCAAGGGCGGGGTTAAATGTGCCCCCCTACTTTTGTCCCTGGCCCTCGATGTGCCCCCCTAAAAATGAATCCTAGAGATGCCACTGCCTCCATTGCAGCATAATAGTCCTAGAAGAACATGAGTTGGGACGACAGAAATGCAATTGGGGCTTTGCCCTTAACTGTAGCCAAAAGTTGGTTCCTATCAGTGAGTGAGTGGAAGCATATGATTAAGTCTCGGGAAGTGGTAGAAGGTGCCGGTCGGGACTTAGTGATTTTAAATTTTTTTTTTATTTTTATTTTTTTTACAGAGAATTCCACGTCTTCATTGTTTTTACTGTAAATCATCCTTTCCTTTGCCATAGAATAAATGTCCTTTCTTCCCGTCTAATGTGTGACCTTCTGTCCTTTGTATCTTCCATTCTCCATATTTTTGAAGCCCGCCTCCATTCTCCATATTTTTAAATTAATTTTTTTTTTGTACACAGATAACAGTCAGTCTTGCGTTGCCCCAGTAGCAGATGCAAGATCATTAAAATACATAGTATAACAGTGTGACAATATAGATATTGGCACATTTTTGAAATATATATGCAAGAGGAAACAATATTGAATATGTCAGTGTACCTGAATGAAATAGCAAGCTATGGTCTGGTTTGCCTCATTTTATATTAATAGATAACAAGCTAGTTAAACATGTCTAGATTGGTGATGAAACAATACTTCAAGGTTAGCAAGTTATGCTAGGCATGTGGGTAAATGAAAATAAAATTAATCATGTTATGTTAACATGAGAGTTGGGCTGTGTGCCCAGGAGTAATGTTAACAATTGCGGTTTCAGAAAGAGTAGGCTATAACATCGTGAGTAAACAAAAACACAGGAATCCACCACATGGTAGATATGCCCAAACTGGTAGGGTCGCTCCAGCGGATCTCTTGCGCCTTTTCCCCCGATTTGCGAGGAGACTGCTGGGTGTTAGGGAGAGGATCCCTCTCAAGGAGGTAAGTGTCGCGTTGTACCTCACTGGAAAATCCTGGATGCATTTGTCGCCACTCCTCCAGAAATTCTAAGCTAGGCGTTCGGGGCTTGGAAAGTACAGATTCCGGTACCGGGTCCCCTCTTAGCACTAAAGCGTATTATGAGGTGAAAACTGCAAGATGGCAGGCAGAAAAGGCCTATTTAGCAGACTTTGCTTAGGAACACAACCAACATACGTCTGCTCTGTCTGGCCCCACCTCCTAAGTGATTTTAAAGCAACTTTCAAACATCAGCTTTTTGACTTAAGAGTGTGGTAACAGAGTAGCGGCTAGTGGTCTCAGATAGTGGGGCAATTCAGCTGGGCAGACTGCATTAGGAATGCCTCTAATCTTAACGTTTACCCACCAGTTGCGGTTTTCCATAAGGTCCATCTTAGTGAGTAAAGCATCATGAGAGGATTGGAGTTGATGGAAGCTTTCTCTGAGACCCTGTACTTCTTGCCTTAGGTCTATTATATCCTCCTATGAGGCTTGCGTTCGGAAAGTCATTGCTTGGACCTCGGTCCGCAGCAAACATTTGCTTTATTTTAAGCAATAGGTTGTGTATATCTAGCTTGGTGGCAGGGATTAACGCCTCTTGCTCCAGTTATACCACTTGGGTCACAGGTCTGTGTGTTCCTCTAATGGTGAATCTGAGCCTGCTGAACACTCCTTGGGGTTGTCGCTGTCGCAGGCTTCTGGGCTGCTGTGCATTGTAGTAAGGCCCTGATGGCGCGGGTGTCTTTTTGCACATCAGCTTATGTTTTCAGCTTTCTCTGTCCAACTGTGGACTCTGTGGGGGTTTATGTTTGCCAGCTGTAGAGAGTTCACAGGCTCCCAGAGAGACATTAATGCAAGCGTTAAGGCCCCAGCAAGTGGAGGTGTGAGGTTGGTCTGTGTCGAGCTATCCTGCCCATTTGAGCATACAAAAAAAAAAAAAAAAGTATGGGTCGACAGCCAGAAGTAAAGGTAAGGCTCACACTCTGATGGAACATGCTGATGTCATTTTGCAGGTGGATTAACACGGAAATGCAGAAGCTCAGGAGAATGGTGTCCGTGCTGCTCAGGTATTAGGCTCACATTTTTATCACAGAATGGATAGTTTGCATGTCTGAGTCTGATTTTAATGATGATTATTTTAATTACCCATTTAAGGAAACACTTTTTTTTAACCTGTTGACATCTTCATATCTCAGCTAATAAAAACTAATTTGACGAGATGCTTGTTGTATCTGGTGTGTGACCTTTATGGGCAAAGCAACACAGTCCTCTAGGGTAACAGGTATAAGTAACAGTCTCTTATGCACAAAAGTACCACAAAGGGAGAGGGCAAAGAGATACTCTTAACTTACGTAGACCTCACGTTCTTTCTATACTTACCACAATTAGCCCGGTGATCCCCACGCCCGGCGATACAGCATTAATCAGGAGCCCCCGCCTTATCTTCTCACGGCCCCGCAGCCAGAGGTGAGGTGCTGAGGACCTCCTGGCCTCGCCTGCAGCATTGCCAACTGAGGGGCTGCCTGTAATGACAGGTGATACAACAAGAGCCAAAATAAAATTAAATAGTGTAAAAAAATAAATTAAAAAAGGTACATATATATATATACACCTTAACACATATATATATATATATATATACTTAACACTAACAACATAACACCATATATATACATATATATAGCAAATGAAGATAACAAATATATATATATATATATACTATATATATATGAAATGAAGAATAGAGAGGGAGGTCTAATCCCCAAGGAAAAGGAGAGAGGACTACCCTGACCATTCAGAGGATACCTCCTACTGTTAAAAAAAAAAACACATAAAGTATATATAAAAAATACTAAATACTCAAATACTGCCAAATGTATCTAATGGCAGTAGAAAAAAGAAAAGGATGGACTAGATGTCCCTATATGGTTATAGAGAACACAATGTAGGGGAGATGTATGGATAGAGATAGGTAAAAGGATAACAGCATAATAGGAAATAAAGGTACAAAAAAAGGGGGTAGAGGGGGTGGAGACCTAAAGAAAGAAAGTCAAATAGAAATATAGTTCTAGATTCTATATATAGGTCGCCTAAAACACCCCTAAATAACACTGCTCCAACAAAACCTACACCATACGTCTAAATGCTGCTTCAAAGGCAGCCTATCTAAATCCCCTTAATGTCTAGAATAAACCAGCATAATCTCTTAGGGACAGCTCCAGACTAGAAAAATAAATGGGAGACATAAAATTAAAAAATACTAAAGGTAGTGTCTCAAAATAAATAATAATCCGACTAGAGCCTGCCTAGAAAGGTAGTGAATAGCTTCAGCTGCAGTCAAAATCTCGGGTGAACGTAGGTAACGTCAGCTACAGCTATCTAAACTCGCAACAGAAGATTAGCATCAGCTACAACTGTCTACAAGGTATATATGAAAAGCAATGGCTACGACTAAAAAGTCTAAATCAAATGGTGGCATCCGCTGAAGCTATCTAAACTCGACGCGCGTTTCGGCGTTTTTAAACACGCCTTTATCAAGAGCAACTTGTTCAGTGATTAGGGGTTGCTTTATAAAGGGTAGTAGCCACTTCCCCAAAGGTGACTTCCTCCAATCAAATTCCTCAAAGAGGCGGGGTTCATCCGATCGTCATAACCCAAAAGGGACCAATCAGAAAAAAGTGGGCGTAAAGCTCACGTGGTCACTATAATTACGAAGGGAGGAAAAATAAATTTCTCTTGAAAGCAAGTTGAAACTGAACCTTGACCGCTATCAAGATGCGATCAAATTTCGTAAACATCAGAAATTCATTAGAGATTCTAGGGACTATCAATCAGGGAACATTTATAATTTTCCAACCCGCCGTGTGAGACAAAATTCTGAAAACTATATGACCTCAGACTATGAGTCCTCAGATACTGATTCCACTTCTACACCTCTAAATTCACAACCCCTTCCTAGTACTAGTGCTCCACGCGGCATCTTGAAAAAAGGAGTTGATTTTTTAGAGATAGACCACCAGGAGACTTTCCCGAGTTACCAAACTCGCTATCAATCCAGGGATCAGGGGAAGGGAAGGAGGAGGGGAGGGAGGAAGAGACATTATTAGAACCAGATGTTGCTATGCAACAAGGCGATATTCCAAAATTACAAGTGATTAATTTATCTTCTTTTCAACTAGACAAATTCCATCTTAAAATTTTGGAAAAGGGCTTGTCTTTCGTACCCACCCCAACCTTTGATAGGTTTACATGGATAAAAGATCTACATCTATTTGTACGGAAACTTGCCCTTTACAAATTTCATGAAATAAAGAGAAGAAAGCATCCTCTCTAGGTCTCTCTATTAGAGACATGGACTGCCTTGACAACCTGGTTTCTCTCCTCGATGACAGTGACGCCCGACTATCAACTACTTATACGAACTTGAAATCCAAAAGCCGTTTCACTCCTAACTTTGCTTCTTTCAGAAACATTGATCTTTTTCTCGAGGCTGTCAAAAGCGAGTTAGATGAAATTGACAGTTTAAATTTCTGCTCCTTTCCCAACGATAATCTCTCTAAAGATGAACAGACTGCCTTGAAATCCTTGAGAGAGAATGACCAAGTAATTATAAAACAGGCAGACAAAAGGAGGGAACGTTGTGGTTATGGATATACTTAAGTATGAAAGTATGGTGCTGAAGGTTTTGGGGAATACTGATACTTACTCTATTCTCCCTTCCGACCCTACTAACTCCTTTCTATAGAAGTATAAGACCATCTTGGATGAAGGCCGCAGTGGAGGGTTGCTCTCGAATGAGGAATACTCTTTTATTTTGAATAACTATCCAAGGGTAGCAACCTTCTACTGCTTGCCAAAAGTCCATAAAGATTTAGAGGATCCACCGTGACGACCAATAGTGTCCGGAGTCGATAATTTGACCCAAAATGGTAGCCTTTATATCGACCAAATTCTCAGACCGTTTGTTGAAAAGCTTCCTTCCTACATCAGAGGTACTAAGCAGGCACTCTTTACTTTCTAAAATTCATCTTGAACCAACAGTGAGTTTATGTAGCCTTGATGTTGAGGCCCTATATTCCTCCATCCCACATCAGAGAGGTATTGAACATGTCAAATATTTTCTTGACCAAAGGGGCCCGGTACATCAGGCTCATACAACATTCACCCTAAATCTATTGAATTTTATCCTGTCCCACAATTATTTTATGTTCCATAACAAATACTACCACCAGATACGTGGCACTGCCATGGGCACTGCGTGTGCACCGTTATACGCCAATCTTCATCTGGGGTGGTGGGAGGAACAGATCAAGACATCTACTATTTTGTCACCTTTTCTATCCAAAATTATCGTTTGGTATAGATACATCGACGATGTCATTTTAATGTGGCACGGTAATCGTAAGGAGTTTGATGATTTCGTGTCCCTCCTTAACGTAAATGATAACCTGAGATTCACTGCAGAGTTTGGTGGCTCTACACTGAACTTTTTGGACCTTACAATCTCGATTTCTGGCGATGGCTCTCTAATTACAACCCTCTTTAGGAAACCTTCAGCATCTAATTCTCTCCTCAAATGGAACAGTTGCCATCCAAGATCCGTAAAACAGGGTATCCCTACGGGGCAATACCTCAGATTACGACGCAATTGTACAGATCTTGCGGATTTTCAAATTAAAGCTAAGGCCTTGAGACAACAGTTCAAGGAGAAGGGTTACCCTAACAGATGCCTTAAGAGAGCATACAAGAGAGCACTAACTACTGACAGATCAGATCTTTTGTCAGACTTTCCAGTACCAGACAAGCCTACCAATAAAACCATTCGGATGATTGGTACATTCGATACTGGTTGGGATGAGGTCAAAAGCTCTATGCAAAAGATTTGGCCCATTCTTCTTAAAGACAACCATTTAAAAGAGATTTTGGGTCCACAGGTTTCCATCACAGCAAGGAGGGGCAAGAATCTCCGTGTCATTCTCGTACCCATTCATTTTGCCCCCAAGCAACATCTTAACACCACTTGGCTTGGTCAAAAGATTCCTATGGGGACTTATGGGTGCGGAAGGTGCGTAGCTTGCAGATATATCCTTAGAAATTCAAAGGAAGTTACGGACACCGAAGGTAAACATACTTACCAGATTGTCCACTTCTTCAACTGCAACTCAGCAGGAGTTGTATACCTCCTTATTTGTAGTTGTAAATTGCTATATGTGGGTAAAACGTTCCGTCCATTTAAAGAACGTATCAAGGAACACGTCAGGTCACCCAAAAACCGTCTTGATACCCCCATTTCAAGACATTTAAAGGAACATCATGGGGGTTCGTCTTAAGATATACGGTTCTGTGGTTTAGAACTCGTTAAACGCGACCAAAGACGGGGGGATTTTGATAAAATCCTGCATCAAAAAGAATGTAGATGGATCTACAAGTTGAAAACCCTTCGCCCGAAAGGCCTTAAAGAGGGCTTTTCCTTTTCCCCGTTCATTTGATTAGACTTTATTATTACCATTTTAAATCTTCTATACCAACTTTCGTTTCTTTATCTTGATCTAGCTAACCGGCTCATTAATGACCTCATGTGATTATTCTATTACACATTATAGGGTGACTGTAGATTTGCTTGTGTGGGGTTGCCTTTACATTAACAAATTTGTTTAGACCCCTTTCTTTTTACACATTTTTTCTTTGTAAATATCTATTATTGATTACATAGAGTTGGTGATGTCTCTTTAAAAATATTCCGGCACTGTATAG